GGATGGGACCATATGTATTGAATTTGCTGTACTATCATGTAGGTATTATTCAATTTGGGTAGGAGGGTATTTATTTATTTAATTATTTTTCATCTGAATTTACAGTTAATCATCAATTAAATAATAACTACGTTATATATCCTAGGGAATCCATGTATTTACGACTATTCTGTCTCAAAAGAATGAACGAGAGAGTAACTTTTATTTCCTGTATTTTTAAAGTAAATGGAATCTAATTAATTGCAATTTAAAATGATGTATATAAATACTATACTTTTCTCCTAATTCATGAAATGTCATACAAATTAAACATGTGATATTCTTTCCGTTTTTCAACAAAATTAGAATAATAATAAGAGTTACATTCAAACACTGACTAAATAATAAAATGATATTAAAACTATTAAATAATAAATTACCAAAAAGGGCTTTATAATTTTTTACACTCCTTTGTTTTTCTTTTTAACTTTTTAAAAACTACGGGTGAAAACAACCCATCCAATGCTTCTTATTTTTTACTTTTTGACCCCAAAAAAAAAACCCATAAGTAAAACCTATGCTGCATGTTTACAGATTTTTTTGCAAACTAAATATCAAATAACTGTATTAAAAAATAGCCTATTTATAATTATATGATCATGTTAATTAATAACAGGATGGCCCAGTAAGTAATAATTAGAGATGCAATTGATAATCTGCTTCATAACTAAAAACATGTATGTAATAAAACAGGAAAGGGTCAAAAAAAATTAAAAAAAAAGTGTAAAAAAGGAAAGAAAGAAAGAAAAATCAGAGAAAAGAACAAGAAGAAGATATGCTGTGTTTGCTTTTGTCTTTTGTTTCCCAAACAACCCGCCTGGTAAATTATGTTTTACGAGGCAGTCAAAGGCACCAGATTTTCTTTCCCTTTTATTTTATTTTATTTTTTTTAAATTTTTTTCCACTGTTAATATTCTTTGTTCCTCCTCCTCCTCCTGATCCCATTGATTCTTTCTTTCTTTGCTTTTCAGCCTTTGATAGAGACCCCATTGTGTTCCCTTCTTTTGCTCTGCAAATGGGTTTTGGGGTTCTTTGGTTTTCTCAAAGTCTTTTCTCATTTGTCACTTTCTTTATCAGCTTACCATTAAAGACAGAATCACTTCCATACATATTTTTCACATCTCTCCTATGTTTTCCTTCCAACGTTAAAGGAATAGTACTCTACCTTATATTTTTATTTATTTTCTCAAGACACGGTTTTTCTTATATTATATTTTATATACTGCCCGAGTTCAATATATAAGATGATTTTTTTAGAGCTGACTCGCTAAAATAATTTTTATATACACAAAATTCAAACTTTTAATTTTTTTTTGGAAACCAAGTGATGTTTCCCGGTCGATAACTAGAAACCAATCTTTTTTAGACGTAGAAGCCACCAAAATGAGTTTTGTCTCTCCCAATAAAGTATTCTCTGCGCACACAACCTGATCCGAACACAAAACATCATGTCTAAGAGACTCAGCTATTTACCGTGTCGAGTTTTGTTGGTCTTAATCTTTCAAACATGTTTGAAAGGAATTAATATTTGGAATATGTATTTAACCAGTAAGTAATAAATGTTAACTCATTAAAAGGATGGTACAAAGGATTGAGGTGATAAGATGTGGGCGTGACTAAGTGCCAATTTTTTAGCAAAAAAGAGGTGAAGTAATTAGTTACCGTGATAATTAAAAAGTACTGTTAAAGGTCATAATTAGGGAAAAACATATAGGACCCGGTTGATGTAATATTGGGAAACCAATTTAGATTAATTATGCATTTCTGCACGCTTTGTTTATGCTAATATTTATTTAATCATTTTTCATTTTTGCATAATTACATTATGATGCGCATATGCCATTCTAGGAGGCTTTGTCCCAAAATTCATATACTAGCTCCTCTTCTTAATATAAGCTTTACTTAACTAATTTGAATAGATAAAATAAATTAATTAAATTAGTTATTCGTGTAAAAAAATATGTGTTATTTTTTTTAAAATATTTTCTTAAATCATTTATATTGAAACTAAAACTCCGTTAACATATGCAATAAGTACGAATAGTTTAGAAGAAATGATAAGTATGAGAAGCAAAATGATTTAAGATTTTATATTTAAGACCAAATTTAACTCTCAATTAGTTTTTATATTAAAAACAGAAAGTAGTATATAATATTTATTTTCAGTCCTAAATGTGAGAAGCAGATGAATAATTTGTGTAAAAATTAAAAATATTATTTAAGTTAGTCATTTTTAAGAAAAAAATATGTGTTGGTTCCTCTAAATTATTGTTTCCAATTATTTGTATTGAAACTATTCTTTGATTAAAACTCTCCTAATATGTGCAATGAATATGGTCAGTTTAAAAAAGATTACACATTTGGAAGATAAAGTAGATTAAAACAAAATAAACTCTCCAACTAATTCTCACATTTAGAATTTATATTTTGGATTGTAGGGAGTATTCATATTTTATTGCTTTTCACAATTCAATTTTTATTTTTAATTTGTGAAACCCATGCAATGTCATATTGCACAAGCATAGAATAAAAAGTAGGCATAGCATTAATCCAAACCTCATAATTAATTAGTAGCATGTTTTTCATACCAAGTCAAACATGATCTAAAATGCTAAGCAAATTTTCAAACACAGAACAAGTGCCAAAAGAATAATCATTCACAAACAAGCACTCTCTAATAGTAAAATTAAAAAAAAAATCCTTCTTAATCATTGATGTCCGTCCAAACAATTACTAGCTTGTTCCCAAAACATCTATCATCACATTAATCTTCTGTTCCCAAAGAAACCAACAACAAATATAACTGTCTTGGGCCTCTCCCTAAAGCTAGAAAAATATTCTCTTGCCACCTGCCTTCCTTCATCCTCTTGCAACCATTCATATCTCTTAACTACCGAAGTTTCAATAATAGACTATAAGAGCTCAATGATACACCAGTATTTACTCTCTTTTTTCTCCTTGCTAGCAAGGATACAACTCATTATACTGTAAATTCGAATCTTGCTGCTAACTTACAATCTTGTTAGTAGGTCGTGGCATGTAAAATTTTTTATATGCGTTTTTGATGTTTTAAGACTTACTGTAGTCCTTGTGAGTTTTAAGTATTCAACTGCCCTAATTTTTTTTTCCTTTAAAACTTGCTTTTTTGTGCTAATCTTCAAACCAAGGATTGACAAGGGATCTAATGGAGAGAGTAGTGTGCATTATCTAATCATATTTTGAATAATATGGACTATTATGTATTTACAGAAAGACTTTGACTCGTAAAATTGTAACTTCTGGAGGATATTAGCTATCCAAGAATGATCAGTTGGTAAAGATTAAGATAGTATGAAATGTCTAATCTCATATTTAATGATATGCCCCACACTATTCAATATCAGACTAGACAGCTATGAACTTCTTAATTCTTCTACCTCAAGCTCTAAGCTGTTATTAAAAGTTGCAAAAATATGTTTCTGACGAGTTTCCAAGGATAAGGAATTCTAAGTTTCTGTTTACAAAGCATTGAAAATAAGAAATAAGAATTGGGACTGTGATTGAGAAAAATCATTAAAAAAGTATTTAATATGAGTAATTACTTGTTATATGGGATTAAGCAAACCCATAGAAGTGAAATTGGGAAATACCACTTCCTCTATGGTATTCTCCAATCTCACATACATGGATTTATCCAATCCCGTGTAATAAATAATCTATTATACTAAACACTCTTTTAATAGATTTTTTCAATCTTAATTACAATTCTTACATTTTATTTTCAATATAATGCTTCATACAAAGGAGACATAAATGATATCATTCATAATTTATGAACAGTCCATCCAATATGAACAGCCCAACTGGTTATCTAATGGCTAGGCTCTCATATTAAGACAACTAATCTCCATTGAAAAAGAATATTAATCTTTTTGGTATCTATTATAGGGTAATAGGGCCAAGATATGAGTAGACCCTAGATGCCCACAAGTAATGGATGTCAATGAAATAAATAAAATTTTTTTTTGTGACAACTATTTAATTTCATTATCATTTAAAAATCATTTCGTCCTGAAAAATCGTGTGGTTAGCAGAGCTTGCTGCATCTATCATCTTGACTGTTCGAATAATTTGTGAAGTTCTCATAATATTAGCTTTCATCAACTCCAAACAGTCGTGAATGAAGAAGATATTCTCATATGGAGAGTTCATGTCCTCATCAAATAATGGAATTAAGATGAGACTTGAAAGCAATCGTTACCATATGAACTCATCAAATCCAACTTATATTTCCTATAATAAGTTTTGGACACGTCAAACCTTCAGCTTTAGTGGTAATAATTGAGGCATCTTAGTAGTTAACTGGCACTATTCATTGTCAATTTCATTTATGTCACATTCCACTAAGGTTTTAATTAAAGTCCTAGAGAACTAGTAAAGAGATGCACAAAACACATAGTAATGGGTTTGATAAGTATGTTAACATTCCTCTTTCCACAGAGCTGCAAGAAACTGCATCGGACATCAACAATATAATAAATATGATAATTGATCCAGATCTTTCCTCCATATACTCTTTTCTGGGTTCATTCGGAAGGGCAAAATGTTGAACATCAATCTCAGGCTGTACTTCTTTTCTTCCTTTGGTGGTTTTCCAATCAGAAGATCCCCAACAACGTCTGAACTGTGCAAGCAATACAGTAACTTGATGTAATATGGGCCTTCTAGCTCTATTAAGTCATCCATGGGAGTTGGGACTGATCCTCTGGTTCCTTGTTGGTAACTGGCGACAAGCTACGCTAGTGATCCAAATTTACTATGCATTTTTGCCCCTGCCACACAAACTCTCAATATGTTCCTTTTCTTTTGGCATACTCCTGTTCTGGAGCTCCCCCACTAGTGTCTTGAATGTGCTGTGCATTGGATCTATTTTTTGATCTAACCCCTGCAAGACCATTTCCTCAAAGAACGAGCAAGCATGCTCAAGTTTTCCACTTACACAGATCAATCATCAAAAGTGAATAAGGTGTCAAATCAAGACTCACATCGTTTCTAAACATGTGGCCTAACAAAAAGTTCACCACCTTCATTCTTTTCTTTCTGAGACACATCTTCAGCAATGGATGATAAGTCTCTACATTGGGCTTGCATGATTTCTCTTCCATTTCCATGAGCAACCTAAGAGCAGTCTCCTCCTGTGAGTGCTTACAAGCAATGGATATCACGGTATTGTATGTACGAACATCTTGGATAACCCTTTGCTTTGGCATGTCATCAAACAAATCACGTGCATCTTTAAGCCTGCCAGCTTGGCCAAAAATGAATATCAATGATGAATAAAATTGGGGGTCAGGCACACACCCATCGCTCTTCATTATCTCATAAAGATCCAGAACTTCAGATAATTGCCCCGCCTTCCCTAAAGCATGCATGAAAATAGTGTAGGTTATAACACTAGGTGACAAACCTTTTAGGCATTTTTTTTCAAAAACTTCTCTCGCTTTGTGGAAATCCTTCTCTCTGCAATATGATGCAACGATACTAGTGTATGTAATAACATCTGGTTGAAACCCATGTTCCTTCATATCCTCTATTGCTTTATAGGCTTGGTCAAGTTTTCAAGATCCACAAAGCCCATGAATCAGGATATTGAATGACTGATAATCTAGACAAATCGAATCCTTAAACTGCAAAAGAAATTTGTGAGCATGCTCAACACTATTTCCTTTCACCAATGCGTCCGTGAGGGCATTCATTGATGCTATGTCTTTGTTCACACCAAACCGCTCCATATTTCAGAATGCTTCCACAGCTTCTTCGTACTTTCCTGCCTTGTAAAGCCTCCTCCTTTATCGAATGTCAGATACCCTTCTAGTTGATGCATTTCCTCAACTAAATTCCACACGAGATCAAATTTCTTGGCCTTGCCCAAAATACCGATCATGAAGTTGTATAATTTTGGAGAATGCACATATGCTGTCTGCGTCTTTGCCCATATGAAAAACTCCAACGCTCGGATCCAGTCATTGCAAAATATATTCAAAATCTTCTCAACTAAATTCTCTGATACAAGAAAATCATACCTTTCTAGCGACTCAGCAACTTTCTCCAGAGAAGGATGCAGTTCTTTAAGAACTCTACTGATTGCTATGACATTGTTTTCATCCTTCTTCTCCCTCGAAGAGAGTCTCGCCATTTGGGTTTGACCATTAAGCATATGGGCCTCAGCCCAATCAGCAGGTGCAAGGATAACAAAGTCCTCACCAGAGTCTGCGCTTTCAGGGGATTGAGTGTCGGGTAACTTGACCCAGACTGGAAGTTCTGGAGACTCAGGAGATAGCTGAGAATCAACCATCGTACAAAGTGGATTGCTGTACAAGATGTAGCACAACCCATTACTGTTGTTAAGCCTTTGCGGAAGACGATGGTGAATAACTTTCAGGATTCGCAACTTAGCTAGCATTTTCAGCGAACTCCACGTCCTTCTCCAAAAAAATAATACAACCAGGGTTTAAGCACTGTTTAGGTTATGCCGTGGAAATCCTCTCTAGTGATCTGTTGGGCATCAAAAGCACATTAATAATTTGGACTATGTTTTACACACTGTTTGAAAGAATAAGCAGAGAAACAAACAAAATTACAGATGTAGGGAAGCAATATAAAAGGAGGAGATTATGGGGTGTGAGATGATATACAGGAAGAAAAGAACAATAATTATTTGCAGAAACATGCCACTTAATATTTCTCTCTGCATATGTACAACATTTTTTTCCTGCTTTAGATGCAATCTGGAAAATGATAAACTCATGGCAAAAGTGAAAGATTTGTGGCAGTTTCTAAGCAAAGACCATACTGGACTCATAGCAAGATGCAGCCCCGAATTTAACATAAACCAAAGTTCACATATGTAGCACGAAGATGCCAACAAGACCCCAAACTATTTCACAAACCACAAAAGACAACCAAGGAAAATGCCAGTTCTCCCCATACATTATACATACTACCAAAACTATAAATACTGGATCAAACATAGCATGCCAAAAATTTAAACGCACAATCGAATCTAATAAGTTGGATTGATCCTTTTATTGTGGATACCTAATTTAGCGTGTGAGCTGATCCAAAGTGACTATAATGTGAAGAAGGGAATTGAACGCCGAAAAATGTTTTGCGACCTCCTCCATTCTTCTATTCGATTAATGAGCCACCAAAATGAAATCTCTTTTCCAAACTCACTCGCTATTTCAACAAAGAGCAAGAACAAAGAAGAAACAGAAGAATAGAGTCAAGGCAGAGATATTTCAAGAGGATATATTTAAACCGCAATGAAACCAACCCAATCGCAATAACATGGAACAGGGCCAAAAAGACAAAAGGAGCAAGGGTGTAGGTGGAGGGCGCCTGAATTTTAAATTTATCACTGAAACTTAATATATAACACATAAGATGATTCACACTACCTGCTTCATTCAATAGCAGAAATATAAGAAAGATTGCTTAGCCAATAGAGACCCATAAAAATTGATTTGCGGCCCTTGAAAGTAGGGAAGGAGAAAAGAAATTTAACAGCTGAATGCAGATTAAAGGGAAAAAAATTCACAATGTATTCAATCGGCAGGAACCCCTAGATTCACAATCATCAAAATGCAAAACCAGCACGCAGCAGCTATTAAAGGCGTCGGACTGTAGGAGTTGTGGTTAGTGGACGAACCTGATGATGAAGAGTGAAGGCGAAGGAGTGGTGGCCGAAGGTTCCAAGTTGCAATAGGTGGGCGTCGACGATAGAAGGAAGAACCTTATGAAGATTGCTCTCAAGAACGAAGGAGTACTGAACAAATGATCTCCAAGGCTCAAGGCTGGAGGCAAAGAACCGACAGAGAGCGAGACGGTGACGTTGAAGACAAAATCTAAGTTCCCCACTGACTGGACTACGCCATCCGAGCTCCAATAGCTGGGGACATGCAATGTGATGTTGAGAGGACTAGCGGAAGCGGCGATTAGGATTCAGAGGTGGGGCGGACGACGGCGACTGCAAAAAAGGGAAGTGAGAAACAGATGTAGGATGATGGGAGTGAGTGACAGCCCGTGTCAGGCGACGGCAGCGTATCATCTATCATGGGACAAAAAACGAAAAAAACGATAAAAGTTTTGCTGAGATGGATCAACGCGGGGAAAAATGGATAAATGGAACCCATTATTCAAAATAACGTTAAAAACAAAATCAATTTTTTCTTTTTTTAGCTTTTTTGAATTTTTTGAAAACCAATATTTTAATAAAACAATCCCAATTAAATCCAACCAAAAAAATCTAAATTTATGTTTATATTTTTAACAAATTTCTAATCAGATTATGAGACCTAATTAAAGATTTTTAAATGTTGTAAAATAACTAAAATTTCCTTCTTTAATTAAAAAAATTGATTATTTTATCCTTCTGAAATGATCTCTCATCTCTTATGAATATTTTTGAGACCAAAAAAATATAAAAGTAATTTTATAACGTTTGAAATTTGTCTTTATAACTTACACCACTAAAAATATTTTAATAAAACACTTTAAATTATAAATATAAGTAATCTTTAAATAAATATTTTTTATTTTCAGTTCTTATAATTTATGTTAGTTTTATTTATTTAAAAAATGTTGAATCTAACTGAAAACGTAAATTATTTCAACTTAATATTAAATATTTCTTATAATTAAAATATTTTAAAATCTTAACATAAATATTTACAACTTGAAAAGAGAAAATATTTATTTAAAGACTACTTATATTGTAATTTAAAATGTTTTATGAAAATATTTTGAAGGTTTTAGTTATATATACAAAATTTCAAACAATAAAAAATTATTTATATTTTTGTTTAAATATTAATAATAAAAGATGATGAACCATTTCAGAGAAATAAAATAATCAAATTTTATTTTTAATTAGAAAGGTGCATTTTGATGATTTAGCAACATTCAACAATTCCTCATTAGCCTTATGTCCTAAATAGGAATTTATTAAAAATATAAGGTTTTAATTTGAATTTAAATATTTTCACTAAATTTAATTGAGATTTTTCTTATTTTAATATAAGAGACAAAGAAATAGTCTGTAAATTATTATTTATTTATTTTTATCTGCTATTTGAAAAAATCTTTTATATTTTAATTTGATGTGAACATTTTTATGTTGAGAATCGAATTCAATTTGACTTTGGCATTTAAAATTTTTTCTGAATGTTTTATTTTTATTTTAATAGAATATTTTTTCAATTCAATCTTTTTATATAAGTTGAATAAAAATCAATTATACAAACAAGGCTCACAGGTACTATTTTTTATTTTAATCATAAGATCTTATTTATATTCTATAGAATGTCTCATTAATAAAAATTCTAAAATTCTGCTGAACTTGTCGTCATCCAAATGCAAGGCAATAACGATCCAAACCAAAAAAACGGCATAACATAATCAAGACGCAGGCTAGGGCACGAACGTTCCTCAGTGGAGGAGAGAGACTGATTTGCAGGGGCTGGGTGGCGGAGGAGGAGGGGAAATTGTTGCATTGCACTGGTGGTGAAGGCAAAGAAGAAATCACAGATCGTGCTAGGTGGAGAAGAAGGGATCATCGCGGGAGATCGGTGGAAAAGAGAGAATCGTCGGAAGGAAAATGGTAAGGTTTAGATTGAGTTTTCGACAGGGAGCTTTTGTGATATGGAGTTCTTATAATAACTATGTTCTTAATTATCTCACTTTTGTTCACGTGTTTAACTTCTGATATGTGCACTTATCTGTATCATTTTGTGTCTTTCTTATAGTTCGTTCTCATTCTTCAGATTTACTTCTTTATTTGGTGAGTTTTTAAAACACCAATTCAACCTTTTGTCTTGTTCTCTGTTCATTCACAGCTGTGTAATTGAAATTTTCTTCGTTGTTTGAGTGACTCCGGTGTTCTTTCATGAAAGCTTAGCTCTGCTCTGTTTTCAAAAACTGGGAGATTGAAGTTCATTTTCACAGCGAGGCGATTAATCAGAGAAGAATCCCTCATGAATTTTAAAGTCAGTGGAGAATGCTTCACGAGTTTTTTGTTTGTGTAATTTCAAGCTTTTAATTTAGCCTGCTGATGAAAAACCCCTGCTCACTCTCTCTTTATTCAACAGGAGACGCTCTCTCATTGTTTTATTCCCCTATTGTTTTGATATTTTGATTCTGCTGCATTGCGTTTTGGTTAATGGATTGCATTAAAAAAACAAAAAACAAAACAAAAAACAAAAAGCCTAGTCAGCTATTCTGCCCATGTGTTCTTCCATGCCAGCAACAATCAACAGTGTCAGTGCCATGTCAGCTCTATCTGCCACGTCATCACGCCTGAGGATCTTGTAGGACTAACTTTTTTGACAGAACAAAGCCATACGGACTGATAGCTAAAGAAATAAAGTATGCACTTGGACCAAAGTTCACCGAACTATGAGGACTAAAAATATCTTTTTCCTTTTAATTTTGTGTGTGTGGAGATATATATAGTATATTTTTGCCTTGTTTAGCGCCTTACTTCGCTTGGGCATGTCCTTTCTAGCACTTCTCACTCTAGGCATAATAATGATTTAGCGCATTAAGGACACCTTTAGCCTTTAAAACTTGGATTATATTATTGTGCTTTTATCTTTTCATGGTGGGTTTCATGTAACCAGTTTGCGATCAATAAATTCGTGCGCACAAAATATGTGTTTAGGTTTTTATCTTCTAGAAGTCAACACCATGAAGAGGGCATTTCCTTGGGATGATCAAGTTGAAGTCTCATCGGAGTCCGATGAATCTTCTTCTGGCTCAGAGATGGAGATCAGTAACGGGAGTGATACCAAGGCAGCTATTGACATAACAGTATCTCGCATTGCCAGAGATGTACTTTCTGAAGGTATTTGCTTACTGGGAATCTGGCTCTTCTGCTTCCTATGAATTGTCCGACATTGCATCAATACAGTAAATAAGACGACTGATAGTGAAGAAGACAACTGATCCGCCATGTTTTTCTGTGAAAACTTTATTGTATGCAGATTTCAAATAAAGAACTGTGAATCTTAATATTAATCATCTTATATGACCTGTACAGGAACCAAGACATTTAAACTATTTACACGAATGTATTGTATTACTGTATTATCCAGTTTATGGCATATGTTATTCGCTTTTCTTTTCCTTCCTTTACTTTGACCCGAATTTCACTTACGAAATTGTTCTAAGAAATCATTTTTGCTGCAATTTATGGATTAAAGCCCCCGTGGATTAAGATCAAGGAGCTGCCAGTACTACTTGTGCACCCAGTGCACAGTTGTTACATGAGCATATCTGCACGTGTGATCATCCTTCCTTTATGTTTCTTATTATTGAGAATTCATTCCTTGCTTAAACTTTCACTTCTTTTCACCATTTACATGTATTGGATCTTCAAAAATGCAATATAATTTTCAGCCACAAAATTCACAAAATGGACTTTGATGACTGCTCTGAAGCATAGAGCATCATTAGGAGGAAAGTGGAAAATGTTCATTTCTAAAATAATTAAGAAGCTGAAGATCTTTGAGTTCTTCTATTCCTCTGAGCTTACAAGTGTTTATAGCCATCTTGAAAAGACTTCATAGTTGTTGCTTTTACCATGTTCATTTACAAACCTTCACTCTGCCATTCTGTAACCCTATGTTTTCAAATAGCTCTTATATAACACCACCCCATAAATCATGTTAGAAACGTAAAACATGAAAGCAGCCTTGAGGCTACTTTTGCGTTTCACGTTAAAGGCTTCTTATCATTCAACTATTTGATACTCTTGTAAGTGCAAATATGGTTTAACTCATGCTTGCGTGCAGATTTATTGATCAGAAGAGCAGCAATGTATCAGGAGTACATGAAGCAAATCCCAATCCCAAGACACCGTGGTTCTGTCATCCCCTATACCTCATGGATGGGATTAGGTAGATCCATGAAGCAATTATATGGTCAGCCCCTTCATTACCTCACAAATGTTCTCCTTAAGCAGTGGGACCAGTTGAGAATTAACAGTGAGGATGAATACAAGCCCTTAGATGACATCATCCATCCATGCAAAGCTGAAGCCAACATCTGGCTTGTCGAAGAAGTCCATCGGAAGACCACTTCTCATCTTCATATTGCTAAACTCTGGAAGGAGGACCCAATGCACCATGCTTTTGTTGATTCCATTTTTCCAGCATTAGAAAGTTCATCATGAAGATATTTTGTTTACTGGCTACCAATGATTTAGCAAAATGTTTCAGTGTGAGTTTTCCTCCTCAGCTCTTTGTGTGACTTGGTACTTGTTAGCTTAAATAGGCCAAGAGAGAAGTTTAATTGTAGCATAGATATCAAAACTACTCTTTGTAATTCGTTTTTTGGGGGTAAAATCTCTTTGTAATTCTGTCGCCAATAATCTCTCCTGGGAAAAAAAAAAAAAATCCTTGCTTGAAAATATGAGACCTGTTATTATCTCTAACAGTGACCTTTCTTTTTGTATGATTTTGACACTAACTTTACAAAATAGTAACAACCACAGCATGTCCTGAGATTCTTAATTACCTTTATGGCCATGCCTTGAATGGTGGTGATCAATCCAAAAGCCATGGCTAGTTTCTCACTCTGTCTACTAAGCAATTACTCTTTGTCCCTTAGATCAACATCTAGCAACATGTTCGGTGATTGATTATCAGATATGAACTCTTGGATCTAGCCATTAACCTCTATTGGACTTAATCCAGGCACTTTCGGAAACCCTTTTCCTCTGGTTGCAGCCTAACTGCGGCAAGACCACCCCATTTCCCTCCAAAAGCTTATATCTTTGATAGTAGCACGTGAAGCTGATGTTTCTCAGGGGCCAATTAATTTACCTTATCAGCTATATAATGTGTCAATTTAACTTTTTTGTGTATCCTGCAAGTATCTGGAGGAGAGCCCCAGATCACATCATTAGGTTGCATTGGCATACCTCGTATGAGATAAAGCGGGGGCGAATCAACCATATGCATCCGTAGTAAGCAGTCTGAGGACAAATTTTTTGAGTTTCCTTCATCGACCTAAAATGTTGCCTTCCTTACTCCACAGAGCCACCATGGCTACATGCTGTTAATAGTGCCACGAAAACGACCTTATAAGTTTCACCCTTTTAGCAACCTCCATAGCCATTGCTCCAATGACACGAGTCCCAGCAGACACATCTAGTTTTTCCATTTTACTTAACATGTATAGCACTTTGGGAATAACCACACCTTGGTGGTGTGCTCATCTATTTATTGCAGAGTAAAATATTATAGATTCATGCTAAGAACTTTATTGAAACGGAATGTAATAAAAATCATTAAGTTATTATCTACCCAAAAGTGTAATTATGGATTAAAGGAATAATTTACACGCACTACCCCGTTTGATTTGGCATTTCCGGCTACATGTTTGCATTCTACTAATGTTTGTGTGCGAGAAGCGTCACTACTTTACTATTTATTAGTGATGTGATTATTTATTTGTTTGTTTGTTTATTGAGTTCTTGTGCGTGATGATTTTCTCTTTTAGATGAGAAAGTGAAATTAGATATTAAAAATTGAAATAATGAAATGGTAAAGATAAGTGATGTTCTCCACTCACAATCGCTTTGCTATTTTATAAGTTTTCTTGAGCTTTATGCTTAATAAAAGGTTACTAAAATTAAAAGGTCGTCCTTATAGAGTCTTACTCTCATGTTTTCTGAAAAATGGACTAAAACTCAAATGGATATCTTTTGTGATGTTTTATCCAATAAGGAAACTCAATAAAATTAGAAGACGGGATCTTAAGTTGAAAAATATATTTATTTATTAATAGAATTCAAACATCTCAAAAAATATAGAAATCTCAAGAAATAATCACAATATTTGTCTATCCAAACAGGGAAAAAGATAGTGTGTGGAAATCTCAAGAATAATAGGATTTTTCTTTTCCATCCCAACACTACTATAGCATATAAAAAGCATCTTTGTTATTGGTACTCAAAACATCACTTGTCCAGTCCATATACAATGTTCAGGTTGGTGCATGCCATATCAGAAAAGATAGTGAAAGACAGAGAGATATTTCTGCACCACTCTCGTTTGCTACCTCAGAAAGACTAAAACTTAAGTGTTCTCTCTTGAAACTTGAGGTTATCATCATCTACAGAAGCTTTTCCAGGAAGTGCCTTGGTTATGCCTCTGATAGTATTTGGTGTTGTTCTGCAGCAACCACCAAATAAGGATGCTCCAGCTTCACGCCACTTTACTACATAAGGGACAAAATCTTCATCTGCCTCCCCGCTTGTTTTCTGCAAAATAACCTTCGGTTAAGCTTTTCCCTTTTTCTTTATTTGGGAGAAAGTGTCATTTAATAAACAGATTAATATTCATTGAAGTTTGGTGAAAATATTGGGTGTATAATGCTAGAATACAGAGAAAGTGATTCAAGAAACTCACCGCCCACTTCTTAGTCTCAGGATTATAAGTCTCTCCACTGTTGGGATACACTAGTATAGGTTTTCTTGTAACCTGGTATTCACACAATTTGCAGAAAAGGTTAGAGATTTATTCTCGTTGTCATGACATCATTAGTTCATAAAGATGTCTGTTTTGAAGAAAAAAGAATTATTTTTGGAGAATAATTAGCAAGAAATGAACAATGCAGGTTATGAGCATAATACCGAATCTGTTCATAAAATCTGTTAAATACGGAATCTGTCAACTAATACGGGTCTAACTGCAGGGTCAAAAAGAGGAAGGCCTCTCTATCTATGTCATAAACAAGACGCCAAGTGTTTTTAATTCAATTTCATCTTAACTATCAGATTCTGAGATTCATCCATTGATTGTTAAGGGGTTAAGAATTGCATTATCAAAACATAATTCACACAGAATGACACGTATGCAATTGACAATAAATTTTTAATATGGACCATAAAAGAAGAATAAATTTGATGTCTTCTATGTCTTGTTTTAGTCTCTTAATTCTTGTTTTACATAAATCTACGCTAATAACTACATCCTAAGTCATCAGTGTGTTTATTTTCTTAGCATGTTGCCCTAAGAAGTAGATCAAGTTAACTGATAAGGAGAGGATTCTCTTTAGGTCTTGGACCATCCAAGTGGAGAGAAAAGAGAAAGGATTTGTGGACTCCGCCTGGTTGTTCAGATGACCCGGAGAGAATGAATGCAACTTAAATGGAACAAAATGAAGAAAGCAAAATCTTGCACTAAAATGCACCTTTGTAATAGAAGAAACCAGTCCATGAATAAACCTAGGAGCAGTACAGTTGACTCCAACTGCCACCACTTGCTTGCTGGATTCTGCAATGGAAGCACACTCCAAGATAGACTCACCACTAGACACCTTGCCTTCGTCCCTGCAACTAAATGAAAGCCATGCAGGAATATCTATGCCTTCTTCCTCCACAAGCTCAACATATGCCTGCATTTAATTCAACCACAACCAGAGTTTGCTCAATCACTCCTTAATAGGAACCTTTATTAATTAGTGTTTGTCTCATACGATTCAACAGTAGTTTCATTGTTGAAGAAAGATCCCATGTGATATTGGATATTGATCACTGAATATCAAGTTCCAAAATTTTGATTTGACAAATATTTGCAATTAAAAAGTGAAGCCTGAACAAGATAGAATGGGAAAATATACCTGTGCTTCCAATTTGTTTGGTATTGTCTCAAAGGCAATTATGTCAGCACCTGCATCAGCAAGAATCTTCACCCTTCTCCGGTGAAAATCTTTCAGTGTTTCAACAGTAACGGCATCACCATAGTCCCCACTGTGAAGATACACAAGCATCATATCACAAATTATTCATCATCCTTAAACTCAAAACCCGGATGCACAGAACCAGCATTACTTTTGAGTCACCAAATGAAATGATCTCAGTATCGCTTAAGCCTTTAGGATTCAAGCCTTTTGGATACGGGTAAAATTCACATTGAATTTATCATTATTTAGTACCAACATCGAGGATCATATAAAATTCACATCAAACCATCACTTTCTTTTGATCCCTACACAGAGTCACCACTTAAAATCACCTCTAAGACTTTGCATCAAGCTAACTATAACTGCAAAATTTAACAGTGTTGCTGCAGTTTGTCCCTTTTAACTACTTTAAGTGCTGCATATTATAATGAGCTTATGTATGAAGAACTAAAGTGCCGTTTAATGTGTTTGATCAAACACTGATTGTTGATTTCACAGACCTGTACTCAGACCCATCGGCCAAGTAAGCACCATAACTTCCCACAGAAGCTGCAATTAGAATTGGGCGCCGCCAATATCTTCCATCTCTCAGGAAGTCAGAAGAATCTTTTGTGCATCTGTCATAATAAATATCTCGAGCCTCTCGTGCAAGTTCTACGCTTCTTCTGATCAGATTTTCAGCTTCTTCTCGACCCAATCCCTTAGCTTCGAAACCTTGAATTGTAGCCTGCGTGCATACGTCCCAACCCAATAGATTAGCTTCCATAAACTTGGGCCTAATCTGAGCCCACAGTAGAACTATGGGCTAAGCCTGAATTTAAAAATGCAGAGGGGGAAGGTACTTGGTAGGATCCTGTTATCAGTATGTTTGCTCCTGCGTCAAGGTAATCTAGGTGAACCTGTCACACACATCATGGCATCATAATATTATATTTTTTTTCAATTTTTCAATAAAAAATTACATTTTTTAATATGAAAAGAGAGAATATATATGCATATCAAAAAATAAAAAAATCTTTAATAGTTACTTGTTAGTTCTAGCTAACTTTTTTTATTACGGAGAGTAGGTAGTATGTCGCTAAGATCATAATTCACTATGAGAATCATAAGCCTTAGCAATGACCCGTTGATGATGTGGCAATAACATATTGTTAATTTGACTTGTTACCTTAAATCATACCACGTTCAATTTTTAATATAAAAACTAATAAACTAATTTAAATAGATTAAGAAAATTAGTTAAGTAATTATTTGTAATAGATAAGTATAATCTTCTATAAAACATCCTTGCTTATTATGTGTATTAACTAAAATTAGCATTTGATCAATTTTTAACATATACAATTACTACAAACCTACAATGACTACTTTAAAAAAATAGATAAATATGAAAAATAAAATAGATTGGAGTCTTATATTTATAATCAAATTATATGTTAAATTAGTTCTTATATTAATGATTAGTATTATTTAAGGTAAGTCACAATATAGATTTTAAATTTCCCTACCAAAACTTAAGGGTTCTTCTAAAAGCAAATCATATTGACACTGTTTGATGATTTTTCAATTATTAATCACTAACAATTGATAGGCACACGTCAGTCCAAAAAAATAAAAGCAACTGATAAGCAAACGTGTGTTTCTACCTCTAGAGGCATCCTTCAGCCAAAAAGAAAAAACTCTAGAGGCATCCTTTGGCCAAAAAAAAACACTATAGAGGCAGCCCCAACCGCCACAAACTCCGCGTACATGCCGATGACACGTGGCCCAATAACTCGCCACGTGCCACCCGGAAAGGGAATTATTGTCGCCGTTTTCAGGGATTACTGTCTTTGGGGAAGTGGAACTTCGACAATCCTCTGCTGATCCCCGTCTCTGGATAAGCATTCTTTAAGTACATACGTATAGTTTTTTTCTTATTAAATTTTTTAATTTTATTCTTTTAACACCAGTAATCTTTATGAGTTGGCTCTGTTAATATTATTAGACCATATATAAAAACTAATCATGCTGACAAAGTAAAATTAAATGATTTAATATGGAGAGAAAAAACCTCATAAGCACCAAATTAAAAATTGGAAAAAATTAAATTATAGGTACGTCAAGAATAATTTTCCAATTTTCATTTTAAATGTAATAACTAAATTATATAAATTAAAAATATCAATTAAGTTAGTAATTTAAAAAGAGTGTAAAATTTTTTTAAAAAAACTCATTCTAATCATTTATATTAGGGTCATATCTTAATTAAAATCTGCTTAGTATGCACAATAGTTTGAAAAAAATATAAATGTAATATACAAAATGAATTTGATTACTATATTTTAAATCCGAATATATCAGCCAAAAATTAAAAGTAAATTTTCTTATTAAAAGAAAATAATAAAAAATAGAAAAATAAAAACTTAGGAGAGAGTGAGAAAGAAGTACCCGGCGGACGAGATGAGGAGAAATGAGAAGGCATTTGGCACTCCAAAGAGGGTCGTTGAGGTCGGCGCCGTGGCGTTCAAGCTCCGTCGCGAAGCCGCCGTCCATGACGGCGTAGCCACCGCACTCCCGAAGGAAATCACTCATAAACGACGACGTATCCTTCCCCTTCAACCCCATCCTCCTCCTCCTCCCTTGAAAGAAACTGATGAAGCTTAGCGTAAATTAGCGGCCAACCTTTGTCTCTTGAGACTTTCAGTTTTTGAAGTGTCGATGAAAGAAGCTATGACTTCCAGCCTTACTACTATATATACATAAATACATATACATATAATATATATATATATTATATAAAGCTACCAGGTGCCCTGCTTGTTTTTGGGGGGGGAGGGAACCCTGAATTTGCCCCGTTTATTGCTTCATATTCATCCGCGCGGAAGGGTAAACCATTGAATTTACCTCTGTACCCCTAACCTGCCCTTGTTTGTATTTTAGGATAAATCACACCATCCACCAGTCATCGCTCATCAGTTACCTAAATTTTTTTTGCCAGTTACCAAAAAAAAATTAACACTAAAATATTGAATTATATTTAATGAAGGGTATATTTAGTTTTAATATTTTTTATTAAAAAGTTTAAGTGAGTTAAATCTTAAAGATTTATTAAGATTAGAATATACTTTTATGTTTAAAGAATGCTTCTATAGATACTTACAAATATTCCTTTAACAAAACTCTCACATTGATATTAGAATTTGAATTCACGACCTCATAAGTTATATACGAGCCACTTCCTTAATAATTTAACCAGTATTTTTTATCTTGATACGATTTAAATAATGTGTTAAATAAGCATTTGTTACCTTTTTTTGGGACATGTGTGAAGGGATTAGATGGGGCATATGATAAACAATACATAAAGTATGTTTTGATTAATAAATACTTCATCGAATTCTTTTATAAACATTTTGGTGATTTTGAAAATTTTAGTTAAAATTAGTTTATCATGATGTCTTTTTTTATGATCCTTCACTTAATGAGGGAAAAAACACGCTCACCCATCATAAAAGATAAAGGGTCAACTCGCAACATTGAACATTATGTTTTAAAAAAAATTAATAAAAAAATTTAATGTTATTGAACCAGGAAGACTCGACAAAGATTCAAATTTGAAATTTTATTCAAAATTATCCTTGTTCAATATAAAACTCATTAAATTAATGCATTTTAATCTTCATCTCATATGAAAAGTATTATGAGGGGAGAAATTAAATGATTAAGTCATTTTCAAAGTATTAATCACGCATTTCTATAAGAATCCTCGTAATAGGGACTTGAGGGGTTCAAAAAATTTCTTAACAAAAAGATAAAAACTCTTAAATCATAATTCATGTACCCTCCTTTTTTTTTTTTTTTGGACTCACATGTACCCTCCTTTGGAGTGGAGACTTACGATGAATCCACCCCAGCTACGTTGTCGAATTAACTATGCTATGCATGCCACGTGGCCCACAAACAAAAATACCCATTATCATTTGATGCGATCCATTTGCAAGTTGCCTGCAGGAGAGAAATTACTTATTACACTTCGGTTCTAAATATAAAAACTAGTTAGAATCAAAACATTTATATTGACTGGAAGTTATTTTTTTCTGAAAAATAATTCGAATCACCTAATGCATGTAATTAAAGAGAATAGTCTACGAAAACGAACATACATTTTAAATAAATAATTAATTTAACTAATTTTTTTAATATCTTTAAATTAAATTAGTTATCTAACTTTTTTATATTAAAAACCAGAGGTAGTGGTATACAAGATTTTAAGTTTTCTTTTTTTAATGTCAATGTTAAGCATTGATCCTGATACATAGAAGCAGGTTTGATCACTTAAGCACAGAGTCTCAAGTTTCACGTCAATGCAAAAGAAACCTTCGAGAAAATACCCTTTTTTTGACCTTTTTTGGAGAAAATACTTCGATAATACCAGAGAATCTGATATGGTCAAATTAAATAGTTACGCCAAAAAAAAAATGTTACTATGCTTATTACGATATAATGGTCTTGATCACCATACTCATAGCGAGAGATTAACTACTAGCACTGGATGGTTGTTAAAATTAACTGCATGGAATAAATTAAATTTCAAACAGGCTAACGTAACCTGGGAGGAATCTATAAAGTCGGAGCATGAAAATATACACACACACTCCCTCCTATCACATGTATAAGCTCCAATTTGGATTTATCTTAATATTTAATGTATTCTTTTTAATATTGTCCTCAAATATTTTTCTCTTATCACATTTTCCTATACATTTTCTTTCATTATTTTTTTCATTTATTATAAAGACATATTTAGAAACAAAAGGCTATTTCTAATCTATTTATTATTTTTAACTAATTGTTCACTATTAGTGAATTAGTTATTTGAGCTTATAATAAGAATTGGAGATAATATTATTTAAAATAGAGTTGAAGAGGTAATACTCCCCCATCTCTTTATTATTCAAATAACCAATATGCATATAATAAAAAATTAGTTAGAATTAGTTCAAAATAGTAAATAAATAAAAATATATGTTCTTGTAATAAAATATAAAAAAACAGAGAATGTATGCTGACTGAGGAAATGTAATAAGGAATAGGGTGACACTTGGCAAAAGAGAGAGAATAACAATTAAAAGCAAAATTAAAGGGGGAAAACGCCTTAAGTAAATACTAAAATATAGTCCTCTCTAAATTTAATGTTTTAGGAGTAAATGAAAACTTCACAATTTAATAAGTAATTTTCTGGTCCTATTTATAGAACATTTCTAACATATTTCACACAGATAAAAAAACCTTAAAATACATTAATTCAACTTTAAAATATAACAACTTTTCAAGTTTATACTATTTAATATATATACTTTTCCAAAAAAAAACTATTTACTCCTCTAGTCCTATTTATAATTCACTTCCACTATATTTTATACAGATCAAGAAAAATCTTAAATTTTATTAATTCTCATTTAAAATTCAACAAATTTTTAACCTTATCTCTATTTAATATATATTATACCTCATGTAAACAAAATCAATATAATAATAAATAAAGGATAAAATTAGACATTCATACAAAAAACGAATTTCAGTGTCTTATAAATAGAACTAAAAGATGTATTCGCTCTCTGCCTTGTAAATAGGTCTAGAGAATTATACTCTAATAAATGAAGATAAAATAGTATGTCCACACTAAAATTTAATAAAATAACTTATAACAACAATAACAAGTCTTATCTCACTAAGTAGGATTAGCTACATGAATCACATGATAATTACTTCGTTAATCTATGTTCATTAAAATTTGACGGGGTTTATGTTAGCTGTCAAGGCCTAATGCATATATGATTAAAAAAATTTCTCTTTTTTTTTCATAAATAGGAGCAGACTAGTAGTAATGAATGTCATTGATGCTTGAAAGGGATATATACAGGGCCGCAGAGGTGGTCATTTATGGTTTAGCGTATGGGTATTTATGGATATGGAGTGGCAGTTACGGCATGTACATATCTATTTAATGCCCAGAAAAAAAAAAAACCTGTTGGGGGAAAAAAGAACAATAAAACTTTATATTTAGAATCAAAACACTTGGTACTAGAAAAAATAATCAACGAGGGTCTTATAAAAAAAGCCTGCACTGATGAGGAGTCGGCGGTTCCACAGGACACCAAAGAGTGAGAGGGTTTGATGTTTTTCTTTGCTTGTTCTGATATTATTTTTCGAAAAAGTATAAAAAAATACTCGTTAAATTTTAAATTATAAATAGGTAATTTTAATGTATCATTATAACTTATTTATTTATTTTTAAATTTTTAATCATTTTTCTTATCTTTTTTATTAGAGTCAATCATATTTAATGTACAATATTAAATACTAAATATAAACAACTCTTCCTATATTTTGAAGAATTAGCTTATTCTACTAAACTCTTATGGTTAATAGTTTGCCTTAGTTTATTTTATTTTATTTTTCCAACTTGTTCTCAATTATCAGAAAAGTAGAGCAGTCATTTATGATACTTCCATTTTCCTTTTTGCAAGAAAAATGTATCAATTTCATACAACACATATTATAATTTATATTACAATACAATGTCTCCATGTAGAATTCTTTGCATAATTTATTTATTTTTTGTAAATGTCTATGCATCCATCCATCCATCTCATTCAGATGGCTTCCATCGTAGATGCATATCTCGTTTTTTAAAATCTTTTTTATGTAAATGGAGGAGATTATATATCAAACAAGTTTTGCATTTGAAATGTGGCCATGTTAAATCTCTTAAATTATTATACATTAAATTAATAATAATAAAATGCATAACTTAGCGTCTATCAAAGTTTTTAAGATATAAAATGGAAATTTTATAATAAATGAATTAATCTTTATGATATCAAGCCAAAGGCAATTGGTGGAAATGTTTGTACAAAGAAACAATCACAATGTTTTTTTGGTCAAAACATAGTTTAATTAACCCACATATATATATTCTAAGTAATTCCAAACACATATATATACTACCTCCCATCCTTAATATAAAAACTAATTGATTAATTTGAGTAAATTAAAAAAATTAGTTATATATGTTAATTATTTATAATAAATAAGTGTAGTCTTTCTTAAAATATCCTCACTAATCAAGTAAATTAGCTACAACTACCATTATTACAAGGACTATCTTGAAAAAAAAGTAAGTGTGGGAGATAAAGTGAATTAAAACCTTATATTTAAAATCAAAATAAAAATTAAATTAGCTTTTATATTAAATACTGAAGGTAGTATATATCACATATTGTAAGAGTGGATAATCCTTATGATTCGAATGGCTTGGATAATAACTGCACATCAATATAAAGATATATACCCTATCGTTTCTTAATATAATACTACTATCTATTTAATTAATTTAGGTAAATTAAAAAACTAAATATATTAATTATTTGTTAAAAATATGTGTTAATTTTTTTTAAAATATCCCCTCAAATAATTTGTATTGAAACTACTCTTTGATCCAAACTTCTTTAACATATGCAATAAATAAGGATGATATGGGGAAAAAAAAGATTATAAATACGGATAACAAAAAGTATTAAGATCTTGTATTTATGACTAAACTTAACTTTTTAACTAGATCCTATATTAAGGACTGGATGTAGTACAACAATCCTTATTTTTGCTTATAAACAAAGTAGATATCAAGCAATTGTAGGATTTATTGGGTGGTCCCACTCAGCAAGAAGGATTCAATTTCTG